CCCCCCCCCCCCCGCACCTCTCCTTCCACTCATGCCCTCACTCCCCTGGTGCCTGTGTCCATTGGTTAGGCTTATATGCATGCATACAAGTCTTTTGGTTGATCTCTCCCCTTTACCCCCACCCTCCCCTACCTTCCCTCTGAGGTTTGACAGTCTGATTGATGCTTCGCTGTCTCTGGATCTGTTTTTGTTCATCAGTTTATGTTATTCATTATTTCGCTTAAAATAATGCTCTCCAGTTCCATTCATGCTGTTGCAAATGTAAGAATTCCTTCTTTTTTACCACAGCGTAGTATTCAATTGTGTAGATTTACCACAGTTTTTTAATCCACTCATCTGCTGATGGGCACTTAGGGTGCAAGCTAAGTTTTAATGCATTCTAAAACTTTACATTTTTACTTTCCCTCCCACATGTTTTATTTTCCATGTCACATTTTACAACATTTTATTTTGTGTATCCCTTAACTATTTATTGTAGTTTTAGTTCTCTTTACCTCATTTGTCTTTTAATTTTCATGTTAACTTTAATCTACTACCTTTCCTATATATTTAACTTTACCAGTCAGATTTTTATTTTCATCTGTTTTCTTGTTACTAATTAGTGTCTGTCAGTTTAAAGAAGTCCCTTTAACATTTCTTGTAAGGCCTATTTAGTGGTGATGTACTATTTTAGCTTTTGTTTATCTTGAAACTCTTTATCTCTCATGTAATTCTGAATGATAACCTTGCCCAGTAGAGTACTTTGGAAGAGTTTTCCTTTCAGCATTTTGAATTAATTTATCATACCACTCTCTTCTGGTCTGCGAAGTTTCTGCTGAAAAAAATGCTGATAATCTTTGGGGAAGGGGGTGTTCCCTTGTTTGTAACAAGTTGTTTTTTTCTTGCTGCTTTTAACATTCTCTCTTCATCTTTACCTTTTGACATTTTAATTATAATGTCTCTTGATGTGGATATCATCTGAGTTTCCTTGATCTGGATGTCTGTTTTCTTCTCTAGGTTCAGGAAGTTTGCAGCAATTATGTCTTTTTTTTTTTTTAAATAATCTATTTTGTTGTTGTTTTTTGTTAATCCTTACCCAAGGGTATTTTTCCATTGATTTTTAGAGAGAATGCAAAGGAGAGGGAGAGACAGAGAGAAACATCAATGTGAGAGAGACACATCGATTGGTGGCCTCCCACACACACCCTGCCTAGGGCTGGGGATCGAGTCTGCAACATACTTGCCTTTGACTGGAATGGAACCTGGGACCCTTCAGTCCATGGGGTGACGTTCTAACCACTGAGAAAACTGGCTAGGGCTACAACCATTATGACTTTAAGTTTTCTGCCTCTTTCTCTCTTTTTTCTTCTTCTGGGTCTCCTGTAATGTGAATGTTATTTCACTTGATGTTCCCCTAGGTTTCTTAAGTTAGCTTAATTTTTTAAATTCTTTTTTCTTTTTTCTACTTTGTTTGGGTGAGTTCCACTGCTCTGTCTTTCAGATCACTGATCCTTTCTTCTACTTTATCCAGTTTGCTGTTGAACCCCTGTTTTTTTTTTTTTCATTTCAGCTATTGTATTCTTCAATTCTGTGATTTCTATTTGCCACTTTCTTTTTTTTTCCTTCTTTCTTTCTTGTTGCCACTTTCTTATAGTTTCTATGTCTTTGTTGACGTTCCCACTGTGTTCCTTCATTCTCCTGCCAAGTTTAGTGATCATCATTATTACCATTACTTTGAACTCTTTATTAGGTAAATTACTTATTTTCATTTTATTAAGATATATTTTTCTAAGGTTTTATCTTGTGTGTTTTTTTTGTGTGTGTTTTTTTTAACATATTTGTTTCCTCATTTTGCTTGACTCTCTGTATTTGTTTCTCTGTATTTGGGGAAGTAGCTGCCTCTCCCACTCTTTTTTTATTTCTTATCCCCCCCCCTTTAACCCCCCACTTCTCCCCCCCCCCCACTCATGCCCTCACCTCCCTGGTGTCTGTGTCCATTAGTTAGGCTTATATAAATACAAACAAGTCCTTTGATTGATCTCTCCCACGCTTGAGGAGTGACCTTGTGTAGGAGAGATGAACCTTATTTTCAACCGGGCCCTAACTCTTGGTTGTCTCTTGAACCTTTGTGATTATCTAAGCAGCCTGATTTATTTTTGATAGGTCCCAGTTGTTGAGGATTTGCCATGCCCTGCCAGTGTTACAAAGGGAGGGATCTCATTCAGCACCCAGTTTCAGGCTGACTGAAAACCACATCCTTCAGCAGCAGCTTTTAATGTACACAAATATATTCAGTCCTCTGGAACTGCAATTGTAAACCCTGCTGGCCTCCAGTCCAGGTGATCTGCAGGTGTCCCCTGGGAAACAGCTGCAAAAATTTGGGTTCCAGACAAGTATATAAGCTCCTTTCTGGGAGGTACCAGCAAGCTGTAGTGAGAGAGTGTGTAAAGATGACATATTTTGGCCTACATTCCCTGAGAGCTCCTCTATGGCCTCTAGATGTGTGGCAAAGCTGAAGCCTGCCCCTGTGTGAATGGCACACTCCCACTGATTTTGGCAAGGCAAAGGGAGAGCACAGGGCTGGAGCGAACCTGCCAGCTTTGGTGAGGCCACTGGACAGTGCTGGGGTGTGCCTGCTGGCTTTGGTGGGGCTGTGAGAGTGCACCGGGCTGGGACACTCCTGCCAGTTTTAGTGAGAGAGCAGGGGAGTGTAGGGATGGGACATGCTCTCCAACTTAGTGGGACAACACAGGAGTATACTGTGACTGGCAATAGCAATGTAGAAGGAAAGTGCACAAATGGCATCCATTACCACTGGTGTTGGCTAGGTAGAAGGGGAGCAAAAAATGGTGCCCAAGAGTGCCTCCATCCCCAGAGAGAGTCCCATCAGGCCCCTGCCCCTTCAGCAGACACTTTAAGATTAGCAAATGAATCTCCTTTACCGATAGTTTAGGTTCTTTTCAAACTTCCGATTTTGTGCTGGGTTCCTGGGCAAGTCCTCATGCAAGCCTGTTAAGGGCAGAATCTCATTTCCTAAAACTCTTTGTGTTTCCTGGACACAAGCCCTTTTGTTTTCAAAGCCAGGTGTTTTGGGGCTCATCTCTCTGATGCAGGCCCCAAGGGTAGGAGTGCCTGAAGAGGGCATGAATTCCTCACTCCCCAGGGAGAAGCTCTGTATTTTTGAGATCCCTCTAGATCAGTGGTTCTCAACCTTCCTAATGCCGCGACCCTTTAATACAGTTCCTCATGTTGTGGTGACCCCCAACCATAAAATTATTTTAGTTGATACTTCATAACTGTAATTTTGCTACTGTTATGAATCATAATGTAAATATCTGATATGCAGGATGTATTGTCATTGTTACAAATTGAACATAATTAAAGCATAGTGATTAATCACAAAAACAATATGTAATTATATATGTGTTTTCTGATGGTCTTAGGTGACCCCTGCGAAAGGGTCATTCGACCCCCAAAGGGGTCGCGACCCACAGGTTGAGAACCGCTGCTCTAGATAGTGGGTTGCCGTGCTGGGGGTGGGTTTTCGGTAAGACTCCTTCTCTGTCTCTCCTACCCATCTGGATGTGGCCATTTTATCTTTGTTGTGGAGGAGCTGTTAAGCAGTTTTTAGGTCTATTTCAGAGGGAATTATTCCATGTGTAGCTATGGGAGGAGGTGAGTTTAGGATCTTCCTACACTGCCATCTTGAATCCCCGACCTTTTAAGCCTGTGATTTTTAATATCCTAAATCATGTGTCTGAATAAGTAAATAGCTCTTATAAACAAACCCAGGTGTTATATAACATTTATTTCCTTGCAGTAGTGTAGATAATTGTTGCTACTTTTAAAATACAGTATATTCTGCTTTGCGTGTTCTTATTACTGTGCTCTTGGATAACTATTTTGGTATTTCTTTCCACTTCTGAAACTGGCAATAATATAGGGTATTTCTCATCTTGTGACTTATACATCACTGGCTAGTTTGGTAGTAAGACTTTCCTGTAATTTTTATCAGTCCTAAAGAAATGGACTCATTAAAGAAATTTCTTTGACCTGTCAGTATAAAAACAACATTTAAAATCTAAAGGGAGAAGTAGATTGGGCGGGATGAGGGGTGGATGAAGATGGAATGAAGGCCCCGTGCTTTAATGTGTCTGTAACCTTTAGTTATATTTTAACTTTATGGTTCTTTGCCTGCAATGTTTATAGACCAAGAATAGATTATTTCAGCAAGAAGGCAGGATATTTAAGTCCAAAAAATAGCAATAAATTTGTTTTTTAAAGCATTTAGTTGTCTTTTAGATTACTATGTGGGATTTGGCCAGTGGAAAACTTCTAAGATCAATAACAGATGCTCATCCTCCAGGAACAGCAATATTGCATATTAAGGTAATATCTTTGTTTTCTTTTTCTGATACTTTTTATTATTATGCCTTTGTATCTGTTTTTAAGTACATTTCTTTATAAAAAGAAATCCTGAAAAGAAACTGTCTTTTGTTTGACTAGCCCAACAAGATGTTTTCCCAAGTGAAAAACCAGACGTGGGCTAGCATGGTACCATTCAGCTGCAAGTTGAATTGATGTCTAATAGATACAGCAGGAAAAGAGTACACTGATGTGCTCCTAGATAAGAGGTTGGCAGCAAAGACAGGTGTTACCTTAATGAAGCTCATGTGATGATTTTAAAAGGTCTTTTTACCTTTTGTTTAGTCCACCAAGGCTTTATTGCTGAGATAGTGTGCCTAGTCACACTTTGTTGGGAGTTACCTGAGGTTCAAGGCACCAACTGTGAAAGAACCAAGGTTTGCATTATGTTTAGAAATGAATCTGTTGCTTTATTTTCTTTCAGGCCTCTAAAGGAAAAGCATTAAGATTTGAATCTTGGCTTTCTCCTTACAGGCCTGAAAAACATAAACCAACTTAGGACACAGATTTTATTTGTAAATACAATATAAAGCTTGGTTTTTGTATGTTGTCAAGCCCATGTTCAGAAGCATAAAAGGTAGAGGACTATAACTAGGGAAGTCTAAAATTAGATTTTCTAGATTTTAATCAGGTACATATTTGGTTGCTTAGCTGTGCAGACCTCTCTTATCCATACATCTGCTTTTTACAGTCTGCAAGCATCTGGAGTTTATGTGTCTGGATTTAGGTTAGTTACATAAAAGTCTTCTGTGAGAAAGCATTGAAGCATTTAGCAACAATGAAAACAACCAAGATAAGTAAAAGTAGAGAGAATTTCTTTTCTTTCTGAACATCATGGCACTTTATTTTGACCTTTTTTCATATGGCGTGTACCAACTGATAATATGTTATAGTTGTTTGTGTTTATGTTTTATCTCCTATAATAGATTAAGATCTTTGAAACCAGAATCTGTTTCTCATTTATTTTGTGTTATGCATAGTAGCTGCTCAATAAATGTTTGGTTGAAGGAATAATTAGTTGGTGATGTTTATGAAAGGCCAGTCCATTTGCAGAAAAAACATACCTTTTAGGAGAAACAATAGGAAAAAAGCTATAAAGGCAAAGAGAAAAGAGAAGAATGCAGCTGAGGTTAAAAGCATAGTAGTTGTAGCTATCCTGTTGCTTGGGAATGGTGGTAAAGGTGGTGCTGCACTCAGACATGTGACATTGGAGAAAAGTGTGGCAAGAGATATATATGATTAGATACTTCTGTAGTTTTGGATTGACAGTAGCCACTTGCACTTCAGTATTCTTACTCATTGTCCTCCAAAGTTAACTCTACATCTCATCAATAACATTTTGGGCATGCGTATTTTTGTTTGTTTATATATTTTAAAATTATATGAACATACTGTACTAGAACTTAAATACATTGTAAAACACATACACAAGATGTAGAAAATTAATAAATAAAAATACAGTCCTGTTATTTTTCCTATACTCTGGGGTATATGCCTCCCGCTTTGGCAACTGCTCAGCCAGGCTTTGAGAGCACAAGTGTGGGACTTCTTTACTATGCCTGTGTGTGAGGTCGGGGAGGAATAATTTTACAGTGGCCTCCTGTACCTCAACCATTCCTGACTAAGAGCATGTAGGCACGCCATTTAGGATGGCTCACCAACCGTTGGGTTAGGGAGACCAGTCACTGTATATGGTACAAGTTAGTAAGTTATTCAGTTTTGTAGTGTACAACATCTACATTTACCATACCTCATAAACCCGCAGGACAGCCTGTCACTGTGAACATTATTTATTACTTTGAGTTTTCAAGAGTAAGTAATAGTAACTGAGGTACTGTTAGTTGAAGAAAAGCAGGAGGCAGCACATTTAGGAACAGCACATTTAGGAATAGTTATATAAAAAGTTAAACTATTTTATGTATAATGGATTAACTCCTCAGTTATTTAGAAAACATATTCAGACATGTTTATTCTCCAAAGATACCAAATATCTTTTATTGTGTCTTTATTCTTGAAAACAAGGCAACTGCAAATGTATCCAAAGTATCCTATTCAGTTTTAATAGCAAGTTAGAAAAAAATTAAAGAACCCAAGTAGAAAACTTTAAGGCTTTTATGAATTATAGTTTGTATTTTTCTTTTATCCTAAGGAAAAGTGGTTTTGCATTTTTAAAACCACAGGTTTTAAAAGATTTGAACCATTTTTATTCTGAATATGTGTAAATTTGTGTGTTTAGAGTGATAAGCTAAGTTTAGCTAAGGTATTTTCAATGCTAAGCATGTTTGTTTTAGATTTAAAAAAAGTTTTTCTCCCTTACCTTCTTAACATTTGACCTGTTACAAGAAAATAAATTTTTTCTCTGTTCAGTTTACAGATGATCCAACTCTTGCAATTTGCAACGACAGCGGAGGCTCTGTTTTTGAATTGACATTTAAGTAAGAGACTAATGGACATTTGTTGACAAATGAAAAGACTAGCTCTGGTTAATGACTTCAAGTTGAACATGAAGAAGTCTGGAAAACTCATGTAATTGAAAATAGGTTATGGTTCTGTATTATAATGACCTGGGGAGGCTTATGGAACATATGGAGTCCCAGGCCTGCCTTCCACCCCTCAATCTCTATCTTAGTAGGTTTGAGTTGGGATTCTAAACTACTCCCCAGACTTGGGGAACTATTATTCTGGAGTATTTCACTAATTTTCGTTTAGTTCGCAGGCTGAGCTGATTATAAAACCATGGTAGCCAGGTATAGGAAGGTTTTTATTGTCTTAGAATTGCCCCATTTATACTTTAAATAAGAGCGAAGACTATTTCGATAACATGGAAGAACACTTATAAAGCTGAGTTTAGAAAAACAGAATATCAAATATAATGTGTATTATGTTTCCCTAAGTTCTTTAAGGACTTTTTTTGTTTCTTGTATTTCGTATACCTTCTGACAATGCTGAGGCCAAAGTAATTGCTTAAAAAAATACTATTTATTTGTTCAGCTAATTTTTATTGAGCATATGTATGTGTAACCATTGTTCTAGGCACCAAAGTTGTAGCTGTTGGGGTGGGGGGAGGGATACAGACAATAAACCAACACACAAATGAAATAATTTCTATAGTTATGAGTGCCGTGAAGAAAAGAAGACAGGTCAGTGTGCTGGAGTGCACTTGAGGATCATTCAGGAAGGCTTCTCTCAGAAGCTGACATTTGAGTAAAGATCTTAATGATAATGTGGTCAACAGATGTAAAGATCTGAAAGAAATATTTCAGGCAGAGGGACATTCAGGCACAGAGGCTTTGATGGGCGGGCACAAACTTGGCCTGCTGGAGCAACTGGGAATAAGTTAGATGTGGCTGGAGTGTGACTTTCTCAGGAACAACAGTAATGGGAGAGGGTGAAGGCTGGAGCCAGATAATATAGGGCCTTTTAAAACACGTAAAGAAGTTTGGATTTTATTTTGTGTACAGTGGCAAGCCATTGGAGTGTTTTTTAGAAGAGTAATAAATCTGGCCTATATTTTAAAAAGATCATGCTGATGTCTTGTGGAGTTTGCATTGCTGGGGGCCAGAGTAGGAGTTAGGAGGCTATTGTCTAGTCCAAGCTAGAGATGATAGTGCCTTGGGTCATTGCTAAATTGGTTCTGAATCTTTTGGTTACATTTTCAGGAGAGTGATGGGAGTGAGAACTTGCGAGTCTAGATGCCTGTTCAGTGGTTCCAAGGGTGAAGTGTGCTGTATTGAGCCTCTTCATTCTAAGCCTGACTTGAAAGATCATCCCATCACACAGTTTTCCTTACTGGCCATGGCATCCTTAACCAAGGTGGGTGTATTTAGAAGATGAAACTCAGACCTTTTAGAAAGGCTTTGAAAACCAAAAAATTGAAAATGACAGGATAAATATTAAATGATATTTTTTCTCCTGAAGATACTGGTCATTGGATTGAAACCATCCTTGAAAGTGTGGATGACTTTTCCCTATGGACGTGTGAGTAAGCTTCTCCATCTTTTCAGCAAAAAAACCATGTCAGGAGGTTGGGGAAAATAAAATTTAAGTGGTGAATTCTATGAGATTGTCATAAAACCAGGTAGATGGAAGTCTACTCCAAAGATTATTGTCTGGGCTTACCTTGATGTGACCAAAGCAGCATAAGCTGTTGACTACAGCGGAGTTCCTAGGATCATGAGATCTGAACTTCTCTACCTTTATTGCTTTAAGTTTTTTCAGCTGCTGCTTCGATACTGAACTGGTAGAAAACAATAGCTAACATATATTGCTACTACATACTGTTTCCTTGGCTTCTGCCTCTGGTATGTTATACACACCTGATTTCCTTTCTTTCCTGCTTGATTGTTTTCAGAGGGTTGTGGTCTTCCAGTGTGTGTGTGTGAGGAGAAGTATTGATGGGATGGGATGGGATGGAGAATGATGCTACTGAACTAAGACTAGTTCAGAAAGCAGCCCTTATACTGAGGGAGATCACACTTCTGTTTCCTTGTTGGTACTCTGTATATCTCTAGGCCCCAGCGGAAGCCTGGCAAAGCTGGTTTAGATTGCCACTAGTATTTCTTAGGTTAACTTCATTGGCTAATTGAGGTTTATCATGGTGTTTTGTGTTTACATCCTTTTCGTATGTTTTTATTGGTATTTGTTCCAACGTTTTATTATGAACATTTTCAAACAGAGAAGTTGAAAAAAACTTACATTAAACATCTGTATACCTACCATCTAAATTCTATAATTAACATTTTAGTGTACTATATTTACTATATATCTATCCATCTCTCCATCTACTTACCAAATTATTTATTTATTTACTTACTTATTTATTTATTTCCAAGTAAATTAAAGAAATCATTGTTTTTTCTTAATCTAAAGATCAGCATGCATATGATTAGCTATAGTTATCTAAGTTTTTCCTCTCTTATAAAATTTACATACAATAAAATACACAGATTTGTATTATTGAATATCTCTGCTTTGTTGGCATTTTAATGAGTAATTGGTAGAAGGAACACTAGCCAGATGGTGTTTTTAATCAGTTTTCTCTGTGTCTTTTTGCCCATTAACTGTGATGAATTTTTTTGGCCTTCTCTTCACTTAGATGGATCCTTCCAGTGTACCATTGCTGGCCTGGCACTTTGTGGCAGCGCATAATTCTGTGAATCCCATGCTTGCTTTCTGCAGAGGAGATGTTGTGCATTTCCTTTTGGTAAGTCCCAATATTTGCTAGATTTGTTATAAAGTCCTTTATCAAAATATTTTTTTTCTGATTCATCAATAATTTAATATTGTGTCAAAGAAATACACTATCTAATTCTTTGGAGAGAGAGTGACATACTTAATTTTTATTTAAGGCTTTAATGGTTAACATGGAAAACTACTGATCACCCTACTCTGTGCCCTTTCATGGTGTGTTTCTCAGTTCCATCACCTTTGACTAATAATTAATGGTGTATGTGTAATATGAATGTACATATGTCTGTAATAACGGCTTACCTATATACATATAGTGTATTTATTAGACAGCAAATATTATTGAATATCTGCTGTGTTCTCTACACTGTGATGAACACAAGAAGCAATTGAGGGAAGTATAAATTCTTCTTCCACATAGCTTAAACTATTGTTTGAAAAGCCACATCAGTATGCTCATTACTACTATGGAGAATGGTTTAAGGATTCAACCATGTGGTGAGAATTAAAAGTTGATACCTTTAGAGTATGAAGAGATTTGTATGGACTAGAGAGGCCAGGGAAGACTTTATGAAGGATATATTGCAAATACTATGGGGCGTGGGGTGGATATGCATAATAAGATGAACTGAAGTTATAGAGGTAAGAATGTAATTTTTATAACATTCAGTACTTATAAAATAACTTGTCTAGTATTTTTCTTCCTCACTCGACTGAAAGCTTCATCAGTCTAAAGACCAACTCTATAACTATATTTCAGCCACTAGGACAGTGCTTGTATATAGATGTTTAGTAAATGTTTATAGAATTAATGACAGGGAGAAACATATTGTGGAAAATAAAGTTGAGTATATGGCATGGATCTAGATTAGGGGTTGGCAAACTCTGGTCTGTGGGGCAAATCTGGCTGGCTCCTTGTTTTTGTAAGTAAAGTTTTATTAGAACACAGTCATGCCTATTCAGTTATGTATTATTTGTGGCTGCTTTTGCACTATAGTGGCAGAGTTGAGTAACTGTGACACAGACCATATGGTCTGCAGATCCCAAAATATTTACTGTGTGGCCTTTTACAGAAAAGTTTGCTAACTCCTGATCTGGTTTGTGTATACTTGACCTAGATTGGTAATGGGGAGCCATCATGGGTTCTTAGGTAATTAAAATGATAAAGATGTGGTTAAAGTGATATTTTAGGAAGATCAGTATGGAAATATCAAAAAGAAAAGATTGTAGGAGGGAAATGGAAGGTTTGGCTCCTGTAATAAAGCAGGTATGAGGTCTTCGGACAAGGATGGTCGGTTGTAGTGAGAGGTAGGGATGATATTTTGAAGGAAAGACAAGGCTTCTGATATTATTGGTTCTAGGACTGAAGGATATGAACCAAACATTTCATTTTTGAGTTTACATTTTAAAAGCTTGAAATATTTAAAGAGTTAAGGTTAGGGAAGGTTTGAGTGTGCTGAGTTGGTAATGAAGGTGGAACTCTCAAGTGTTGTATTGGAGAATGTCTTCTGGGCAGATGGCAATCCAGGTCTGGGGTACAAGTGAGAATTCAGGGATAGAGAAGGTAGTTGAAACTGTGAAAATAAAATGCTAGAGCATACATAACCTTAGTGGATATTCACACAAGGGAAAGGAAGAAGATAAGGCAACAGGAGAGGGAGCGGGCCTAAGCCATCAGATCGGACATCCCCTGAGGGCTCCTGGACTGCGAGAGGGCGCAGGCTTGGCTGAAGGACCCCCGAGGAGTGCACAAATTTTCGTGCACCGGGCCTCTAGTATATAAATAAAAGATTGACACTGAGGTTCTTTGGGGAAACTTTGGGTTGTTTGTGCAGTAATAGTATTATATGTCAGAAAAGTCTAGTTTTGTCACTGCAGCAGCTTTTTTCTTTTAATGAACTTTTGTTTGACTTTTTCACACCATGTCACCATCCTATTTTATGTCTTAACTCTAGCTAAATACAGTCATTGGTGTAGTGAGATTAAGTTTTTCTGACAGAGTGGATATTACATTACAGAATTTGCTAATACTGACAGCTGAACCACTGACCAGATATGCCTTGGATTTTGGTACAAATCATGGTGTGATCATTTCTGTCATTTATGTGATAGTTTCTTTAATTATCAATATTTTTGACTTATCCATACTCTGAATGGAAATAATTTTTGGGTGGAGTATAATGAAGTATCTAAAAATATCCCTCAAACAATAGCTGAGGTTTTGGTTGTTTTTATTTCATCATCAGGTTAAGAGAGATGAATCTGGAGCAATCCATGTTACTAAGCAAAAGCATCTTCACCTCTACTATGACCTCATCAACTTTACTGTGAGTATTCAAATGAACTATCCCCATTTATTGCATGTAATTGTTTTGAGATCATGGTGTGTTAAAGCTATCAGGATTTCTGCCATGAACCATGCCTTTAGGATTATATGAAATATGGACAGAAGTGAAGTCTGGCTTATATTGAATAAAGTCTGAGTTTGATATGATGTCACATTATTTTTCTTGTCTTTCAGCCTATGTCTTGCTGAACAAAAATTTTCTTTAATGTCCTAATTAGTTTAAAGGGGAGTTTAGAAGAATTTAGGTGGATTTCTTCAGAATTATTGCTGGACTTTCTTTGTAAACATATTTTTATCCTTCTGAGTTTGTCCTAATTGGTTCAGGAGCTAAAAAATTTGCAGAGGTCTCTCTCTATAACACATCTCAGTCCGAAGTGACTTTTGGTGTAAAAAAAAGAATATTTCTTTTTGTGTCAATTTTTAAATAGTGTGTTAATTCTGTAATAGTGCAGTTATAATATTTCTGGGTTTCTATCATTAGTGCTCTTAGCATATCACTATCTGTATCCGGTGAAATATTCTGTAGATATATGAATATAGGCAACCCTAAATATAAGACTGTGCCTCATTTTTCCAATAAAAGGCTAAAAAAAGTTTTACCCTCAATTTGATAAAATGAAACATTTTAGGATTATGGATGAAATGAATATTTATTATATAAGATTTATAAGTTCAGTTTATAAATTGAATTATAAAGATTATTGAGATTATTTAATCTCACACAAGATCATTGATTTAGAAATAATGCTTTTTCTTATAAACATTTCACGAAATAATTTTGTTCAATCTCTTCTCATGTATATAAAACATCAGTGACTTTGTCAACATTAGAACCCCTTGTTGAATCATTGGACACAGTTTTCTAGAATTCTTCATCACTTCTGTTTAAGATGTTTGAGATACAGTACTTTTAAAATCAGCATATGATTCTTCCCCTGGAAAATTTTTTTCCAACCACAAGTAGCAATGCTCCTGACAATTCACAGCGAGTATTTTTATTTGTCCTGTGGCTTATCCATGATGTGACCACTAACTACATTGCTCTGTAAATTACCTTTAAAAGGTTTGTTTACAACAATGTCAACACTCACAATTATGAGATTCTAACCTCAGGAATAATTGCTAAACTGCAAACTTTTTTTTCTCTGTCATTCTCTCTCTGTTTTAAAGCATTTAAAAACTATTACTGACTGATATTCAGTAAGGCTAATAAAAAAATGTATCTTTTTTTCCTAAATGATACTTTGTTTTTCAAAGTAAAGTGATCAAAAGAGCACCTTATAGGAGCTCTTTGTAAAAGATTTGAGTATCAAACTCTGTTTTCTGAGAGATATTATTTTGGGGGTGGGAAACAAACAAACAAACAAACAAACACACAGAAAAACAAACCCTTCCTTTATAGTAGCTACTATACAGTGGTAGAGCATATCTTCAGCATATGTCAAGAGAAAATTGATCCATTTTCAACTTGGTTGTCACTGATATGGTATGCAAATAAGCTTTGATAACCTGGGATGGATCATATAAATAAATCAACATGAATGCCAGAGAGATAATGTGCAGGGGAATTATTTTGTTCCCTCTAATTTAGAATTCTAATTGAGCAGATTTAAAAACTTTATTCCTTGAGAAGGATTAAGATTTTTAAAAATATATTTTGAAAATAATCTCATACATAACCCAAGAAATTTATCAAAATGGCATCCTTCAGAAGATTTTTAACATTATTATTTAGTTATTATTTTAAAAATTATAATAGATACTAGAGGCCCGGTGCACAAAAATTTGTGCACTGGCGGGGGAGGGTGGGGTGTCCCTCAGCCCCACTTGTGCCCTCTCACAGTCTGGGACCCCTTGGGAGATAACCACCTGCTGGCTTAGGCCCGCTCCCCGGGTGGCAGATGGCAGGCTCGATCCCTCAGTGCCTGCCCCGCCTCCCCGGGTCTCGCACATGGCAGGGCCGATCTGGGGGTTGGGGCACCGCCCTGGGTTGGGTCGCACTCGGGACGCCCGGGCGGGCCGGCCGATCGCTGCTGCCCCGCTCGGCTGCCCCGGGTTGGGTCACACACGGGATGCCCGATGGAGGCCCGGCGGGCTGGCCGATCGCTGCTGCACTGCCCGGCCGCCCCGGGTCGGGTCGCACACGGAAGCCCGCCGCCCTGGGTCGCAGATAGCAGGCCTGGATGGTGGCAGGGCAGGTGGGATGGCGCTGTCCCGCCCTGCCTGCAGTATGCAAATTAGCCGCCATCTTTGTTGGCGGTTAATTTGCATATCACGCTGATTAGCCAATGGGAGGTATAGCAAAGGTACGGTCAATTACCATGTTTGTCTATTATTAGATAGGATAGAAGATATAGAAAAATACAGCAAAAACTCTCCTAATAATTTTAGGGAGGTTTTGAAGGAAATATATATTTTAAATAGCTTCTATTTTGAACTATGTATTACAAATATATTTCAACAATCATCCTTTGACCACCTAGGTTTATGAGATTTAATTTGCCCTTTGGTTTCATTGATATAAAAACTGAAATACAAAGTTTGTCACTTTGCTTAAGTCATTTGTGCCAATGTACCTTTGAAAAAATTTTATGAAAGCCAATATATCCTGTAACATATATCTGTTAAAGATTTTTGTTAGCCTTCTTTCGGACTACAAGAGTGTCATTGTAGCACTGTCAAACTCAATATTGTGTTGTGTTCCTATTGTTCTCTGGGCTGTTTACTCAGTAGTTCTTGCTGTGATTGTGTTGTCATGAAGTTATTAAATGGATAAAGTCCTCAGGGTCATTTAACTGAGTGGCCAAGCTTTCTTCTTGTCCTGAATGATGGCGTGGGATGGGCCTCACTTTTGTTTTGTTGTGTGCTTGAATTGCAGTGGATGAACTCACGCACAGTTGTACTCTTGGATAGTGCAGAGAAGTTGCATGTGATTGATCGGCAAACTCAAGAGGAATTGGAAACAGTGGAAATCTCAGAAGTTCAGTTGGTCTATAATAGCAGCCATTTCAAATCACTAGCCACCGGAGGAAATGTTAGCCAGGCACTGGTAAGGGTAACCCATTATCTTAGTACTGACTTGATAAACGTGGTACTTTGTTGCTGTTTTGTTCTAGAAATAGAAACTCCGAGGAGTTATCTTTATGTTTTGAGGTATTTCTTTAAAAGCCACTAGGTTGAAGTGGATGTGGGTGTGTTTGTAAATATTCAGGAATGTGAACTAAAACAGTAGTTTCTGTTACCTTCTATTCACAAATCTGACTAATTTAATGCCCAAGAGTTTTAACTTTTATGCTAAAATAATAAAATGAAGTTGGAAATTTATGAGACAGAAGTTATAAAAGCAAAATATTTTAGAAAGTTTAATATGGCAGCAATAAGTATAATAGATTTAAGGGGTAAATGACTAGTGACAGGTAGCCCATGAGGCTTTGGAAATATTTGGGTGATTGGTAAAGGAATGAACAGGTATAGTGTTTGTGGGAATTAAAAGGCAAAGATGGGCTTTGAGAGAAAGAAAAAAGATTCTTTCAGAGTAGGAGATAGATGAAATGTTGGTGTGCTGGGAGAGAAGGAAGACATGAAAATTATGATCTTAGTATTAATCTATACTAATAATAGCTTAGGTGGCGTCACGCCCTCACGCATCACGCCCTAATGTTGTCACAAAATGGCCATCACAAGATGGCCGCACGCACAGCAGAGGTGGGGCCCAGCAGCCGCTCTGCGCGGTGAGGCCTGGGGGTCCTGTGGCTCCATGCAGCGTGGAGGAGCCGGTCCCGGCGGTCTCCGCTACCTCAAATGGAGGAGGAGGTGGGTCCCAGTGGAGGAGGTGGGTCACGGCAGGGGAGGGCAGTTGTGGGTGATCAGGCTGGCAGGGGAGGGCAGTTGGGGGCGATCAGGCCGGCAGGGGGAGCAGTTAGGCGTCAATCAGGTCAGCAGGGGAGCGGTTAGGGTGCGATCAGGCTGGCAGGAAAAAGTGGTTAGGGGCAATCAGGCAGGCAGGCAGATAAGCGGTTAGGAGCCAGAAGTCCCGGATTGTGAGAGGGATGTCCGGTTTAGGCCCAATCCCGCAGTTGGACATCCCCTGAGGGGTCCCAGATTGGAGAGGGTGCAGGCCGGGCTGAGGGACACCACCGGAATTTCGTGCATCGGACCTCTAGTTTTACAATATTTTAAGTAACTGTAATAATGGCTTTTAGCAATTTACACAGATAGTTTACAGTTAAATTACTTTGAATTGTGATCTCATGTTTCCTAAACCAGTAATCTTTAAGCAGGAAATTAGACTATTATGAGGCTTCCTGGGTATTTTCTTGAAGGAAATAGTAATGATGGTCATATTTAATGAGTGTCTGCTGCATGAAATGTAGCCATTGCCCAAATCTCTCTGAGATATTAGAACCTCAGAGCATAAAATATACATGAAAGGGTCTTCCAGCCTTAAAATTTAGAAACCAAGAAAATCCAGAGTAAGAATAATGATAACGCAATAGAATTCTCTAAAGTAAGAATAATTACTGTCTCACACTTAGATGTTTTCTGGTGTCTGGTTATTAAAAATACTTTGAAGTATTTTTTTAAGTCAGACTTTAAGCTTGTACTTTCAGCTAAGATAGAATAATGGGACCTGGATTTACTCTCCTGTCTGGGGAAAAAAAATCAGAAAAAGAAACAACAGTTTCCAAGATACTGGATATCATGTAATGAAGCACAGCAATCCCTGACAAAATGGGAAACAAATGGCATGAGCCCTATGAGTATCCCAGTGTCTGTCCTTGAGAGAGTTTCCATGTGGCTCAGGGGGAGGAACCCAGCTGGAGCTTGGAGTACTCCATGAGTTGAGACAGAGCGGAGACTGAGACTGCAGGAAGACAAGTGTGGGTTGGACAGGCCAGAGTACTGGTGTGAAGAGCACTATACAAAAGGTTCCCCTTGGGTATTCAGCAGGCTACTAATCAATAGAAACTGCCCAAGGCAAGGAAAGAAATATTTGTAAGATTTGGAAGGAACGATAGCTAGTGATCACACTGGCTTGTTTACACCAGCCAGATGGAAAACCTTATGATTCACATGCATTGGGCAGAGTACTCGGACATCTTGCCTCAGTAGTGGGGAATAGTTAGAACTAAAGTAAATGCTGCTCTCGTCCCCACTAACATATCTTAAAAACAAGACCAGAAAGGAACAAACTTTCCAGGTAACTTAACTCCTCCCAGAACAAAGCACAATAATATTAATAAGAATACAGAAATTTCCAGGACCCAACATGCTGAAATTTGAAATTTGCAGTGTCTGCCATCGAATCAGGGATTACTAGGCATGCAAAGAAAAAGTAAAACACAACTTATACTGAGGAGAAAAATCTATCAAAACTGACTTAAACCTGAAACAGATATTAGAATTAGCAGACAAGGACATAACAGTTATCATAGGTATAGTCCGTATGTCCAAAAAATTAAGTAGAGACATGGAAGATTTTAAAAGATGTAAATCTAGAGATAAAACTAAAGTGCTTGAAATGAAAAATACACTGGATATGAAGCAAAAATGAACAAAATTGAAATGAGAAAAAGACAACTTCACAGTTATAGTTTGGAAATTTTAAACTCTCTCAGTAAGTAATAAAATGAGTAGGCAGAAAGACATTAAGGGTATAGAAGACTAAAAAGAACACTGTTGATCAACCTGACCTGACAGTTATAGAATATTGCACCCAACAGAAGCAAGGTACAATTATTTTTCAAGTGCATGTGGAACATCCACTGATACAGATTATATGATAGGCCATAAAACAAGCTTCAGCCAATTGTTGAAGGAATCATCAGGGTCACTTTGGAGACAATTCAAATATTTGGAGATTAAATAACACTTTTATAAATAAACCATGAGACAAAGAAAAAATCTCAAAGGAAATTAGAATATATTTTGAACTAAATGAAAATACAACATATAAAAATCTGTGATCCACAATTAAATCAGTTTTTGAGGGTAATTCATAGCATTAAGTACTTATATTAGAAAAGAAGAAAAATCTCAAATAAGTGATCTAAGCTTCTATCTTAATTAAGGAAATAAAAAAAGAGCACAATATACTTAAAGTAGATTGAAAGAAGAAATAATAAAGATGAACACAAATCAATTAAATGGAAAATGGACAAATGATAGGAAATTAAAGAAACCAAAAGCTGGTTCTTTGAAAGATAAATAAAATTGACAAACCTCTAGTGAGACTAATCAAGGAAAAAAGGGGGAAGGCACAATTACTAATATCAGGAGTGAGGATGGTAATGTCACTATAGAGTCTATAGGTATTAAAAAGATAATATGCCCAGCCGGCGTGGCTCAGTGGTTGAGCATTGACCTGTGAACCAGGAGGTCACGGTTCAATTCCCAGTCAGGGCACATGCTCAGGTTGCGGCTTGATTCTCAGTGTGGGGAATGCAGGTGACAGTGGATCAATGATTCTCTCTCACCATTGATGTTTCTCTCTCTCTCTCCCTCTCCCTTCCTCTCTGAAATCAATAAAAATAAAAATAAACAATATGAGTAACTAAATTCAAGAATTTTAGATGAAATGGAAAATTCTTTGGAAGGCACAAATTACTAAAGCTGACTCAAGAAGAAATGAAAGATCTAGTAAATAAATACATTTTCTGCAAAAAAACTCGAGGCCCAGTTGACTTCACTAATGAAGTCTATCATATTTTAGGAAAAAAAAAAACAAACCACCAATTTTACACAGAAATCTTTTCAAAAAATAGAGTAAATGGGAGCACATACTTTTTTAAAATGAAATTTGCTTATTATCTCTGATAATAAAATGAGACAAAGACATTATAATAAAGAATACAACAGACCAATGTCCTTATAAGTATAGAAGCAAAAATCCATAATATATTAGCAAATAGAAGCCAGCAGTGTATAAAAAGAGTAATCATGATCAAATGGTGTTTATCCAAGGCATTCAAGACTGGTTTAACATTTAAAAATCAACGTAGCCCTGGCTGGTGTGGCTCAGTTGGTTGGAGCTTCCTCCCATACAGCGGAAGGTCACAGGTTCAATTCCCGCTCAGGGCACATAGGTAGGTTTCAGATTTGATCCTGGGTCAGGGTGATGTATAGGAGGCAACCATGTAACCAAATATATTTGCTATGTATTTAAGCTGTCCTTTATTAGATTAGCTTAGGACATATTAAAATGCCTTGAGGCATTTGACTTAGTTAATGGTAAAAGAAAAACCATATCATCTTTTCAAAAGACAGGAAAATTTAACATTTAGTCTTGATAAATTCTTAGCAAACTAGAAATAGAAGGGAACTTCAACCTGATAATCAAGAACATCATCCAAAATCCTACTTAAATATTACTGCCAAAAACGAAACCAAAATCGAAGTCCCTGATTCTGATCAAACCTCTTCTAGACAAAATATAGAAGACAGAGGAACATGTTAAAAGATTCCTTGACACAATTAGCAAAATCAGGTGGAGGAAACTTTATGGAATAGTGTTACAGCTTCTTTAATAAATAAACCTAAAGGAAAATAAGGGATGGTGAGAGGTGGAGGCAAAACCTATACATTAAAAGATACTATCAGCCAGCTCCAATATGTGGCCCTTGTCTGTATCTTGATTCAGACAATTAAATGTAGAAAAAAAAGCCCAAACGACAAAACATACACAGCAATTGACATTTATGAGACAAGCTGAAATCCAAACTCTGATTGGGTATTTGATATTGAGGAATGATTATTAAATTTTAAAAGCATGTTAATGTAATTGTGGTTATATTAAAAAGGATTGAATATATATATATATATATATATATATATATATATATACTGAATTTTTATAAATGAAATATTCAAAATCTGAAATTCACTTCAAAATTATACTGTGTTACATTGGAGTCAGTGGGATTATAGATAAGATTGGTGATGAGTTGACAATTAATGAAGCTGGTTAATGGTTGCAGGGGGTTCATTATTTTATTCTATCTTCATCTATATTTTGAAATTTCCACAGTGAAAAGTTAAGATTAATTATCATAGTTATCTGTTATTGACTGCTTATATATTTTGGGAGATTTATAAATGTTCACATATTTAAGCCTCAAAGAAACTGTGCATGGTTTTCAAAGATGTGAAAACTCAATGTCGGAAGTTTGAAACTTATTTAAGGTCATACCTAGAAAGTGACATTGCCAAAGTTTGCAATCCTGACTTATCAAACAGCAGGTTTTGTTTCTGTTTTGCTGGGCTGTGCTGACTCCTATATACTATGCTACTTTGTCTTCCTGTTTCTTCTTGTGTTTAATATTTATATTTATTTCAAAGGACTTGGGGCTACCATTTTCAATCAGCTCTATTCTTTGCCAGAAGCAGTGACTATTGTTATCCAATAACGGGGCAGGTTGCAACAGTTTTCCTTTAGGTTTACAAGTTTGCATGTTCCTCCCTTTTCTGCATTATTCTGAAAAATAAACCCCCTGTGTAAGCAGAGAATTACTTTCTTGCACTTTGTCTTTTTTGCTCCTTCCACTGATGGACTGGCCCATGATTGATATCCATGCTCCCCTACTTATGGGGTAAACCAGGTTAGCCTAAAATGTTGTCTTTATAATGGACATTCTTTAAAACTTAATGAGACTTCTAATTCATGCAATCTTTACCTTTTTTGTTTACTTTTTTACAGGCTTTGGTTGGAGAGAAGGCTTGTTATCAATCCATCAGTAGCTATGGTGGTCAGATCTTTTATTTGGGGACCAAAGTAAGCTCTTCCACTTGGCATTTGTTTGTGTCAGGATAGTTGAGGCTTAAGCAGATTGCTGGTGAAGAGGGCAGTGCGTTACAAAATGAGTATCGATTAGCAGTAATCTAAAACTTTTAGGGATTAGATAGTCATGATTTTTAGCTAATTAATTTACCTTCTCCACTTTGGGGCATACTTTTACTTTCGTTTAGATTCTAATAGGACACTTATTTTCTTTATTCAGGGATGTATTTTTATATTCTTCAAATTTATGTTTTCATGACCATGAAGATACCTTATTATGTATATTTGTCATGTAATTAAGCTGTCCTTTTTTTAAAAAAATATATTTTATTGATTTTTTACAGAGAGGAAGGGAGAGGGAGAGGGATACAGAGTTAGAAACATCGATGAGAGAGAAACATCGATTCAGCTGCCTCTTGCACGCCCCCTACTGGGGATGTGCCCGCAATCCAGGTACATGCCCTTGACCGGAATCGAACCTGGGACCCTTCAGTCCGCAGGCCGATGCTCTATCCGCTGAGCCAAACCGGTTAGGGCAAGCTGTCCTTTATTAGGTTAGCTTAGGACATATTGAAATGCATTGAAGCATTTGACTTAGAGTAGAATCACTGGAATAGGAACTTTTTGTATATCATTTTGTTCCTGTGCTAAAAAAAAACACACAAAAAACCCTACAAACAAACAAACAAACCAACCAGAAAAAACAACACGGAGAAGAAATATTTTTTCATTATTGAAAATTTTCAGGTCTGTACAGGGAGATTGAGCGTTCCTTGTTCCTAGGTATTAACGCCCTAGACCAGCGGTTCTCAACCTGTGGGTCGCGCCCCCTTTGGGGATCGAACAACCCTTTCACAGGGGTCGCCTAAGACCATCGGAAAACACATATAGAATTACATACTGTTTTTGTGATTAATCACTGTGCTTTAATTATGTTCAATTTGTAACAATGAAATTGGGGGTCACCACAACATGAGGAACTGTATTAAAGGGTCGCGGCATTAGGAAGGTTGAGAACCACTGCCCTAGACTGTAGACTTATTAACTTTTAAATGTTTGTTTGATTTACTCTTTAATATGGGACCTTGAAGACCCTTTAGTAAACACTTCAACTGTATTATGAGTGGTTTTACTTAAAGAGATGCAAAATGAGATGTGGGGCAGGGACAAATGTGTCTCCCAACCAAGTTTGTTAAAGATGGTCATTTTAATTTCCTTCTCTTTGTTTTCCAGTCTGTTTATGTAATGATGCTGAGGAGCTGGAGAGAGGTGAGTTCAAAGTAATTTTATGTGTTAGAATTGTTGAACTGATAGCATCTTAATGTTTGTTTTGACTTTGCCAAAAAAGATTATTTGGATTAGTGCTTTTTAATTTCAGAAATGTACATCAAAACCATTGTAACTGTTAGGTACTTGATTTGATAAAACTCACTGTAAATTAGAATTAGGTTTGGCTACATACATCAGAAAAGTCAAAATAATAGTGGCCTGTTGCTTCAAGTTTCAACAGTGGCTTCAAGCTTTCTCTCATGTAAAAGCCATCTGGCAGTAGGCCAGATGTGGCTAGTGTGGCAGCTCCATGGTCTTTAGTGTGCTATCCTGTTCCACATCCTTGTTGTGGTGTCTAGTCCCAGGGTCATTTATGTTTCAATAGGGCTGCTGGAGCTCCAGCTGTTAAGTCCACATTCGAGAAAGGAGGAAAGAGAACAGAAAGGCTAGCCCCTCCCTTTTAAGGTGATATCCCAGAAATACCAAACAACACTTCCACTTATCATTGGCTAGAACTTAGTCACATGGTCCCAAGTAACAACAAGGGAGTCTTAGAGATGTCCTTTAGCTGGTTTATTGCTGTCTCAAATAAACTTGGGATTTGTTACTGAAGATGAGGGAGTGAAAGGATGTTGTGATAAGCAACTAGACGTTTCTGTTACAGTGACATTCTAGTTGTTTTCTCTTTTTATATTTGGGCCTTGTGGCTGCCTAGTACTATCTTATATAGTCACTGTACTATCTAGTGCTTTAAGAAATTATTTTTCTTGGAAATTAGATATTCATGTGGTTATTAGAATACTTGTAGCTACTAAGCAACAACTTCTAGAAAGATATTGGGTAAAATAGGAATTCTGACTTGTGATTGGTCAGACAAAGGGGTCTAGCTTCTTGCATTTATTCATTTTAGAGGGTGGATCATCTCCTGAAACAAGATTGTCTTACAGAAGCCTTGGCTCTTGCATGGTCTTTCCATGAGGGAAAAGCAAAAGCAGTTGTGGGTAAGTTAACAGAAAACCGGTGGTGTAGACTTTTTTCTGAAATAGAGAGAATGAATAATACTAATCACTCATAGAACACTTTTTTAGCTTAATGTTTAAGTATTTTATAAGCAAGACTAGAGGTCCAGTGCACCCTCTCACAATCCGGGACCCCTCAGGGGATGTCGGGCTGCTGGTTTCGTCCTGATTCTCACAGGCCAGGCCGGAGGACCCCACTGGTGCACGAATCCATGCACTGGGCCTCTAGTATGCATATAAGATCTTTAGTTAATCTCTTCCCGCCCTCCCTCTTCCCACCTTCCCTCTGAGATTCATCAGTCTGTTCCATGTTTCCATGCCTATGCATTGAGTGTGTGCCACCTGGTGGTCAGTGTGCATCATAGCTACCGGTCAAATAGTCAGACGGTCGCTTAGGCTTTTATATATATAGATGTTACCAGAACTTACAGATTTCAGTGAAAAAGGTTAATAACCAATATAGGATATATAATTTTAAATGTCACTTAATATTAGAATAAAAGGGAAGTACATTGATAGGCTATCTGATTCAATAGATGTAATGTGTTCTTATTATGGCATATTATCCAAAATTTTGATATCTAAGGATTGTTGTATGGATATGTATTGTTAGCACAGATTATGACCAGAACAGTTTCACTCCTGAAGATGTGGTTTAAATTTGTTTTCATTTGGAATTTGCTTCTCTGCAGGATTATCAGGGGATGCCAGTAAGCGAAAGGCTGTTGTTGCAGATCGAGTAAGTATTTTAATAGGGTCTTTACTGGGGTACAGCACAAATTTGCTTTGGGTATTTGCTAGTAATATTTGGGCATGATTAGGTAAATGGCTACAGTTAAGGTGTCTGTGTATAAAAAAAAATCATATTATAGTTCCCTGGTATTATCTTGAATGTTTTAAAAAAATTTTTATCATCTTTTTTTTTTTTTCTTGCTCACTCTCTTATGAAAATGATAAAGTAGTAAATAGTCTTTTGGTTATTTTAGGAAGAAGCCTGGAATCTGGATTATTTCTGAACCTAATAGCCCATAGAAAGTTGACATTTGTTATATTTTATAAACTGATTAGTAATTATGAAAAATAGTATAAATGCAAGTGTGTATGTTACTTGAGGTAATACAAAGGGCTGATGATTTATTATTATTACTAATTAGCATTAGTAATTGATTAATGCTAATATTTACTATTGCCTTTGTTTTCCTAGTCTAGACTTGGTTGAATTCATTTACTGTACTAATTTCTTTCCCTTTTTAATGTGCAAGTGCATTGGTAAAAATTACATTCCAAATTAGTATAAACATTTAGAAAATAAAAGTGATCATCTTTAGACTCATGATTTTTCTCAGTATCTGCCAAAATATTTAGGGTTCTATGTTCTATCTGTGTTCTTTAGGGAAAGATTTACAGCAAAGGATTACTGAGGAGCTTAACTTCAGCATTTCATCTCCTGAGCAACATAGATACTACTAAAATCTAGAACCTGGAGATAGTCTTAGAAAAGATTAGCAAATTAGTACTAGCCCTGAGGCTGAAAGAATTTAGGTAGAGTTTAGGAAATTGGAAAATAAAGCCACTAAAATTTTACATTTATTTTTAATATAATAACAAAATCTGATTCTGTATTATTTAAGGGGATCGAATATATTAAGTATTGAAAAACTTTAGAGATATGTTTTAACTTCTATACAAGCCTATTTTCCTTACAGATGGTAGAAATCCTATTCCATTATACAGATCGAGCTCTGAAAAAGTGCCCAGACCAGGGAAAAATCCAAGTGATGGAACAGCATTTTCAGGTACACTTTTGCATGTGTTTATAACAGCAGTTGGTATGAATAGGTCTAACATTGCTCTTTCATTTTACTTGAAGAATGGAACTTTCATGATTTGGTTAAACAATTTTCAGTATTCAAAGCTTTATTTCAGGGCTTGTGGAGCATTCTGTGTGATTAAATTTTGAAGTAACAGGTCACATGGGAACAGATGAGTAAAAATGTCGGGAAGTGTTAGTGCTTAGCTACTTAGTGCTGTGTGGAAGGAAAGACTATATGTATGAGGGTGTTCCCGTGAATTGACACCTTATAGTGGCTGACACCTTGCTAATGACTAACATTTATGTTAATTAGGCTAGTTGAAGAAAAGGTAGACTACCATGTTTTAAATTTAGTTTTCCTAAGAGTAACTGTGACTCAAGAACAGATTAGTTACAAAAAAAATATGATCTCTGAAATATGTGAATCATTGGGAGGCTGATACACAAATTGGGCTAAGTAATGCTCTAATTGTCACCATACCTCCCTAGAATAAACTGCCTTTTGATGACCGGGACGAATTGAGTGAAATCGTAACGGACAGATACGGGGCAGACAGTTTAAAAAAATGAGAATGAAAGATTTTTAGTTTTTCTTAAAATGCAGTGAAAACTGAAGTCAAAGAACAATTTAAGGCCTGTACAGTTTTTATTATGTGAGTTTTACTATTTCCGATGCTTTCCAGTTTTACTTGTTGTAAATCTCTGTTTATCCTTCTCCATTCCTAGAGCTACCCCACCCGCCACCTCCTCTTTTAATAAATATTTCAGTATCTAATACTAGAGGTCAGCAAACATTTTCTAAGAAGGGCCAGGTGGGAAAATATAGGGCATGTATGATCTCTCACATGTTCTTCTTTTTTAAAACAACCTTTAAAAATGTAAAAACCACTTTTAGCTCTGTGAGCAGTTCAGAAACAGGCTATGGGCAGGATTTGGCCCATGGGCCAAGTATGCAACCCCTATGTACTAAGGTCTAGACCAGTGATGGAGAACCTATGACACGTGTGTCAGAGGTGACACGTGAACTCATTTTTTTGGTTGATTTTTCTTTGTTAAATGGCATTTAAATATATAAAATAAATATCAAAAATATAAATCTTTGTTTTACTATGGTTACGAATATCAAAAAATTTCTATATGTGACATGGCACCAGAGTTAAGTTAGGGTTTTTCAAAATGCTGACACGCCGAGCTCAAAAGGTTCGCCATCACTGGTCTAGACACTGGGCCTTAGTGAGTAAAATATACATGATCCTTGCTATCTAAGGTTTGCAGCCTAGTCAAAATAACTTTTCTTGTATACGTTAACAGAAATATTTAGAAGAAGTCTAGGGGTTTTGAAGTTGAAGAGTGGGTGCAGTTCATATCTTTTCACATCTCACTTTGATACTTATAAGTTTGGAAGATAAGAACAGATACAGTGTTAACATTTGGAGGGGTCAGAGGAAGGTTGGGTTTCCTGAAATGTACTCTTGAATGCCATAGTAGGGGCTCCTGGCGAGTAACTTTTATTGCTGTTTGTCTGGAGGTTCATTAAATCTACCAGTAAAGAAGAGAAACCCAGATAAATTTTTAAAAATAGATAATTTAGAGGGAAAACATAGGTAGAAAGAAAGCATTTAGGAACAAAACTGTTTGAGAACAATACATTATATATAAATTATTTTGTATACCATTGCAGTATACATAGTATAGAAAACAATATTTTAACGAAACTATTAACAAGAGGTGGTGGAGATGGTATTCAGAAAAGAACTCTGGTCATTATAGGGTATACTTTGTTGAAAAGAAACATCTAATAGGGAATGCTGGAAGGGGCGAATGAGTTGTGTGTGTGTGTGTGTGTGTGTGTGTGTTTAGAAACCACCATGCTGGAGAAGAACATGGGAAAGCTATGAAAGAAAGAACAAAAGTGATGTTTTGATGGTGAAATATGAAAGAATCTCAGTATGATGATGGTTTCTATACAAATTACAAAATTTACAGAGAAACAAACTGTAGTAGAATATGTTCTTTAATCATCTAGATCTCTGTGGGAAGTTTTATTCTGCTAAAAGAGTATCTGATAAAATTTTTGATTTATTAATAATTTAGTCTCATGAAAGGTAAACGTAGTGGGAACCATTATTCTGGATTTACTCTATCATTGATTGGCAAGTGGGAGGGATAGACTCTTGAGAGAAAACTGATTATTTTAAAAATTGCAATAATGACAAAAATACACTTATCATGAATTCTGTATTTCATAAAGCAGATATATCAGAAAAAAATATGGGCACAATCTCATTATTATTTGCTCCAAAAAACTAATGGGTTCACAAAGAATAGCAAATTTTTAAATTTTGACATATTAGCCGCAAATAATCCAAAAAGAAAGGAAACAGTGAGGCTTGTTGAGACATACCTGTCTACAAAGCACTGAACAGCTACGAAATTGAAGAAAGGCAGACAACCAAAGATATGGCCAAAAGCATCATGAAGACTGTCAGAAAGGAGATTAGTACGATTCAGACTGTGCCTTCCAAAGGGTTGAGGGGTTTTGACAAAGATTCACTAGGTATACTAGTATACTACGTGTCAAATAATACGTAAAGGGTGTGACATTCATTTTATTTAATTCTCACAAGAACCCAATGCAGTAGATACTGTTTTAATCCCCATGTTATAGGTGAGGAAATTTAGACCTATAAAGGTTAAGTGACTTCCCAAGGTAATATTGCTGGTAAGTGGTGGGGCCAGGACTTCAATCTAAGTCTTTCTGACTTCAAAGCTCAGCTCTTAAATAAGCACTGTACTATACTATTATTTTCAGACAAGTACAAGGAAAGGATGGGTGACAAGGGGTGCTGTTAATAGGTGATCAGATTGATAATTAGAGTAAACATCTAAGCCCTTTAATGCTTATTGTGTGGCAGGCACTGTTACAAACCCTCTATACATATTAACTCATTTAATTTTTATCATAACTTTGTAAGGTAGGTACTGATATTCCCCTTTATAAGCGAGACTGAGGCACAGAGAGGCTAAGTAACCTGTTTCAGATTACATAGCTCATAAATGATAGAGCTGGGATTACAGTCTAAGCAGTTGGGCTTCAGGGTCCACATCTATTACAGTACAACACTTCATATTTTGCTTTCATTTTCATGAGCGCAGAGAATGGTCTTTAAAGTGGAAAATATATTTATGAAAATAGCTGAAGCCCAGCATATGTGATATATAGTTAGTTGCATTATGATTATCCAAATCTCAAAACCTTTTGAATTATAACCCAGGATACTGTTTGACCAATCTGAGCCATTATTGATAATTTGTCAGTAACTTTGGATCAATTTCCATTCTCAGTTAAGCATGGATGCCTAAGCTGAGGAGACACAATTTATTTCCCTCAGAAGGACTGTTTGCTTCTGGAAAAGGTGCTCTTCAGTCCATTAGGATGGGTGAAGTACATGGTTAGTTGGCCATAAATCTACTGTTTGAAGTGTATAATCTTAAATATTTAATCATAAAATAGTTTGACTCTAAAAGCATATTTTTTGGAAAGAAGAGTGAACTTCAGGAACTATCTACTGATAATCCCAGTGTGGTTTGTGAACATTTTTTATGAGTTTACATAAAAATGTCCACGTTAAACTCATAAATTGCCATTTTGAAAGGAATATGTGGACAGTTATTCATGGAATGCCTATTCCATAACATCTTGCTTTCATTAAGAGCATTTTTCTGGATTTTCCTTTATCTTCATGGCTGAAATAGATATGTAAATAGTAAATAGATTAGTAAATAGTAAATAGATTTGTAGCTAAACATCTCTACCCAAAGAATATTCTTTGGTGGTTTAGTATTAGTTACATCTTAAGGCTCTTTAATATCCAAGTTTTTATCTTTGATTTGGATGAAGACTTAGTGAGTGGCTTGTCAAATTTAGTTGGCACCAAGAAATGCAATCAAAATCATTATGATATGAAATTTAACAGGGATAAACATCCAGACTTCATTAGATTCAAATAATTAACTTGCATGAGTACTGGATTGGGAAAATCTAGCTGGACAGGATTTCAGTTGACAGCAACTTAGTATGAGCCAATGATGTGTTAGGGCCCAGATAAAGGAAAGTGATAGAACCCTTGGGCTACTTGTTAGAGATAAAACCACTAAGATATTTTATAGACTGTTGACAACTAAGATTTATCCCACAACTGGGATGGTGGGAGGTTTTATGAACAGCGGTTAAAAAAAATACTGGGGATGTTTAATCTGAGGAGAAAAGAGATGGAGATATGCTGCCTTCAGATGATGTAGGGCTGTCATACGTGGATTTACGGTGTTACTGCAGAGGGCAGGCTAGTAGAAATTCTGAGATATATTTCAGTTTAAAACGACCTGGTGCTGATGTAAGAGCTCTTGGATTTATCCTATTGAATATTGAAATAAAAGGAGGATGTCAAACTGACCAGGAGTGTTTTTAAAAGACTATCTTTGCTGACTGGGAAGATTTGAGATTCTGTATCAGTATCAATAAACTGTCATTAGGAACAGGTAACCTGTATTCCAATTAAGACTGGTTAGTCAAAATACTGAGAATTTGTATTTTACCAGCAGGTGGCACTCATGCCTGCTGCCTCAGTTTTAGTCTTCATCTTTGAGGAGGGGGCCTCACCTTTTCCTTAGAGTCAGAATATATAATGCCAGTCAGTATTTCTGCTTTCCTCTAAAGACAAATTGGCATTTTTTCCTGTCCTAACTATAGAAAATAACTTTTGGATCTTGCGGCTTTTATTTATCTGAGAAAGATTTGAACCTATAATTATATTTTATTCATATAATAACTAGTAGACTTGAAAGGAATTAAAGTGTTCTTTGTCTCATATATGCTGAAACTTACTTTTTCTTCCAGCTAAGTCTTTCCCATCCTAAAACAAAGTCAAACAGCAAACAGCCCTGGCCAGGTAGTTCAGCTTGTTAGAGCATTGTCCCCAGTCA